GTGCAACTTTAGAAGCTCGAATATTCAATGTTATCGGATTAAATGTATTGAATTTTTTAACCGTCTGTTTACCTGGTTGATCGACGTGGATGAAAAAAGAGGATAAAAAAGTTCACAGGAGATGCTCTATAAAAATAATCCTCGTCATGATCTTACAGGAAAAAAATGAAAAAAAAAAAAAAAAAAAAAAAAAAAAAAAACAAACAAACGACCCGATACCTCGTCCACAAAAGGAAGACAAGTCTCGAACGATCCCAAGACTCCTCGTCAGCGACGATTCAAAGCTCTCGAAAGTCCTCCCATCGCCTCACCAACCTCAATTATCGTTACGCAGCGCGTCCTCGGCCTTGAGCCTAATCACCTCGGCGGTGAGCAGCTGCCTCTTCGCCTCGTCCTCGCTCGAGTTCGAGTCCTCGTCCGGCCGGTCCTTCTTCCGGCTGCTCAGGTTTTGGGGCAAACTCTGCAGCCCCGCCAAATTCAGCGGGTGGTGTGCCATCGCGCTTCCGTGCACTGCGTGCGTTTGTTGCTGGTGCTGTTGCCGGTCCAGTGCCGCCGCGACGGCGGCCACGTGGTGGTTGAGCGGGGACTGGGCGCCGAGGCCGACCACTGGCCCGAGGCCCAGACTCGCCAGGTTCTGGAAGGACAGAAACGCGTGCAGCGGGTTGCCCAGCTTCGGCGCGGCGCTCGATGCCCACGGGGGTGGGAATATCGGGGGCATGAACCAGGAGAAGCCGGCCGCCGGTGCTGTGTGCCCTGGGTGGAGAGACAGCTCGTTTACGCCTGAAATGTTAACGGGTGTTGCCGTTAAGTGTCTCACGGTCACGTGGTTAAGGATTGTGCATTTTTAAGCTCACCAATCATTGTGTATTTCATTCATTTCAGCTTTTTTTTTTTTGTCCATACACACCGCACACCGGTGTAATTGTGAATGGGATATGTGGGTTTATGCGAAACGTCATTATAAAATCAATGGGCATTCGTGCGGAATAATAATTAACTGCTGCGCGCGAGACAGTAAGCACGTGTAGGTGTATGTGTGTCTGTATGTATTTACGTGTATGCGGGGTGGTGAGGTAATGGTCGTAACGAACGGGGAATAAAAGGAGGCTCGCGCGGGGGTACCTGTGTGTACGGCGGGCAACGATTTAGAATTTGATAAATTCGCTTCGACCTAATCGCTCGATCTCAATTAACAAATGTTTTTGCTGCTGTTTTGTATGTGCCTGTGTACACACGAGCTCTCGTCCCTTTTTTTTTTTTTTTTTTTTTTTTTTTTTTTTTTTTTTTTTTTTTTTTTTTTTT